ATCCACTCCTGTTGTCTGACATTGGTTCATGCTGCCTTTGGAAACCTTATTTTGCTCTTACGCTGTGTACCTAATAGCCAATATGATACCGACAAATCAAATGATATTTCAGTCATTTCTACCGAGCCCTTCTCAAATGTCATGACATTTTTTAAAAGCTATATAGCATTTTCTGAACGTTGGCAAGCCTATTATGTGCGCTTATTCTTACAAGTGTCTATAAGGCATTGCAATGAAAAATGCAAACATTAAGGTGCTGCCTTAGGCATACAGGCCCTGTGAACTGGGCCCTGTCAACTACAGGCACTGCCAGCTATCGTCAGCTGGCAACAGAGCTGACACCAGCTTCAGCAAGGTGGCAGGCAGGCTTTATCCCTGCTTCTTGAGCTGATCTTGAACTTGGGTAGAGGGGTTACGTTGTCACCAAAAGGCAATCTTTCCAACCACACTAATTTAAAGTGTGTGTGTGTGTGTGTGTGTGTGTGTTTAAAATACATAGGCATATTTATAAGCAAAATGCCAGCTCTCCCTTTTCTTTGACCACTCCCAATGGCAATAATGGCCCTTCAAGAAACTATGGCATCCTGCTATCTCCCTAGATTATCCAGCCACTTGTTACTACAGTGGTACCTCAGAAGTCGAACGGAATCCGTTCTGGAAGTCCGTTCGACTTCCAAAATGTTTGGAAACCAAGGCCCAGCTTCTGATTGGCTGCAGGAAGGGATGGGGGAGAGATTTGATTCAGTTTGCATTTAAAGGAGAATCTAGAAAGTTCACAAACCAAAACACAGCCATCTTTCAAAATCTGCACTTTAGCAATGCAGTTCTTCAGACAAGTAATATGTACAAAAAAGCACATGCTAGGGTCCATAACAGTGAAAAAAACATACAAGCATGTGTTATATTCCCCACCTTGCAACCAACTCCAAAACACATGCATAGGAAAACAGCATGCGAGGGAGCAATATTTAGCCTACGTTTTGTACTAACATGCTATTTTTCCAAATGCAGGTGAGGGAGATTTTGGTGGGGAAGCATTCAAACATGCAGGAAAGTCACAGTCCAGGGGAAAGCCTTATTACTGGAATGTGCTGATTGCAGAAATCAATGGAAAAACCTGGCCCCTGAGTGTGGTGCACTGACCAGAGTTCGGCTTCCTTTGCTTTTTGTGTTCTTTAAAATTGCCATTTAATAAGCAGAGACTTACTTCCCACCTCAACATTGTGATGCAGTGAGTGGTGGAGGAAATGTCCCCTGCTACTAGTTTTCTGCATCCGTAAAGACACGGAGTGTTTTGTCCCTAAAAGAGATGAACACAAGGTGCAATCTAAACCCACCTCCCTTCTCCACTGCAAGCCGATATGACTAAACAATAATATCAGCGTTAGTAAAACCTACACAGCTTGATCATCAAACACATGGCTGACCTCCTACACTTCAGCAGCCTATACAATGAATAACTGGCATGCAGGACTACCAGCAGGAGTAGAAATAAAGAGGGAAAGCAACTGGGGTAGGGAGTAGGATATATATCCTCAGCACTATCCCATTCCAAGTATCATGACTCCTCTTGGACAGAATTCATTTCTGTAGTCACGCTCCAACCCACTAGCAGTAGCTCTTAAAACATCCAAGCCTGTGTTATCCAAAGAGCAGCACCTTATTTGGGGGTGTTCTAATATCTAAAGGAGTGGAGGGTTTCCCCCTTCCTTCACTTAATTTGTCCGTATGCATCTGGCTGTTATCAATTCAATATAATTGAATTATGCTGTCAACTCCATAATGTGGTCAAAGCATTGAAGACTTTTTTTTTCTTTCAGGGTTCCAGTACTTTGAACAGCTGTACAACTAGTAAATGTTCAACAACAGAACCTTTAATGACAGGGAAAACTTCAGCTCCTCAGTTGCTTGCCTGTCATGCAGGCGTTAATGGAACAGGAGGTACAAGTTTATTAAAGAGCATTTCTCCCTTTCCTGGTAGAGCTCCTGTACCTTAGGCACCTGCATAAAATTCAACAGATGTTTTTCAGGGCATGGAACAGTAGCGGTGTGGAAAAGTGTATCCATTAAGCATCTGCCCATCCAACATAAAATTGTTTAAAGGTCCGGAAATGCTTCCAGGAAAAATATACCAATCATAGCATAAAAAAGGTAAAGGTAAAGGTACCCCTGCCCGTACGGGCCAGTCTTGACAGACTCTAGGGTTGTGCGCTCATCTCACTCTATAGGCCGGGAGCCAGCGCTGTCCGCAGACACTTCCAGGTCACGTGGCCAGTGTGACAAGCTGCATCTGGCGAGCCAGCGCAGCACACGGAATGCCGTTTACCTTCCCGCTGGTAAGTGGTCCCTATTTATCTACTTGCACCCGAGGGTGCTTTCGAACTGCTAGGTTGGCAGGCGCTGGGACCGAACGACGGGAGCGCACCCCACCGCGGGGATTCGAACCGCCGACCATGCAATCGGCAAGTCCTAGGCGCTGAGGTTTTACCCACAGCGCCACCCGCGTCCCCTAATCATAGCATAGAATAGCATCATAAACCCATATGGAGTTCAGCATGTGGTAAAACAGCCCTTATGTTTACTTTACCACAGCAACCCACTTTAAAGGAAGTTACCCAAGGAAATAAATAAGGGGGAAACCTGTAACAGGTTATGTATGCCATCTTCCAGCTTCCTGGGTCCTGATCTAGTATGAACACAGAAAGCAGCCATACTAAGCCAGGCCACTGACACAAGTGACAACTGAAGCCACAATCAACTGGAGGTGCCGCAGTAAGGCATGGAAATGTGCCGTGACACAGAAAGCACTTGCATCAGCAGGAATGATTGACAGGCAGTGGCATAGCAAGGTCAGGTGGTACCAGGTGTGGAAAATTTCTTGTCACCCTCCACCCCACATTGAAATCTAGTTGGACTCCCAAGAGACTGCGATCTAAAGATAAAGGTAAAGGGACCCCTGACCATTAGGGCCAGTCGTGGCCGACTGTGGGGTTGCAGTGCTCATCTTGCTTTATTGGCCGAGGGAGCAGGCATACAGCTTCCGGGTCATGTGGCCAGCATGACTAAGCTGCTTCTGGCAAACCAGAGCAGCGCACGGAAACGCCGTTTACCTTCCCGCCAGAGCGGTACCTATTTATCAACTTGCACTTTGACGTGCTTTTGAACTGCTAGGTTGGCAGGAGCAGGGACCGAGCAATGGGAGCTCACCCCGTCCCTGGGATTCGAATCTCCGACCTTCTGATCAGCAAGTCCTAGGCTCTGTGGTTTAACCCACAGTGCCACCTGTGTCCCTTTTATACTGCAATCTACTCACAGTATAAAAAGACTAGCTGTGATCTACCCATTGTCATTGCCAGGAGTTGTTCAGCTTTTTTTAGGGGAGGGTTGGCCAAAGTTGTTGAGCTTTGGGGGGGGGGGTTACAGGGTTTGAGTCCTGAGTTGAGGGAGCTTCTGCTTCTCTCCTTCCCTCCACCCGCTGCTTGTTTGCCTGCCTGCCTCCTGCATGCCCCCTCTGCTGACACCCGGGGCAGTCCGCCCTCACCACCCCCACCTTGCTCCACTCCTGTTTACAGGTAACGTCAGATGGTGTCACCTCAGTGACAGGTGGGTTTGGCTTGCAAGAAATGACCTCATGGGCCATTTGGATGGACTACCTGCACTCAGTGTTGTGAAGAGTGGTAAACAAATGGAATAAATAAGAAATGAATGAATGAATGAGCTGTTCCCATATCCCTGATCTAGCTCATTGTTGTCTGTAGGACTTTCCCAGCCCTATTGGAAGATGCCAAAGATTAAACAAAGGACTTTCTGCATAGCTAGCATATATTTTACCAGTGCGCTATTGTCCTTTCCATCTGTGTGGCAAGAATTTCTCAGGCCACCACTGTAGGGCTGGGAACCTGTGGCCCTCCAGGTATTTTCCCACTCAGGGTCCCATCAGTTCTAGGCTAAGTTCACCATCCCTACACTGCGGGCTCCCTGTTCAGTGAAGTCGACTGCTGACTTTCTCACTCTTCTTCCTGTACCAAATCCATGTGGAGGAAACAGGGCATAGGAGATGGCTCTGTCCCTGTGATTCTGCATAGAGGTTCAGGAGCTAAATTTTCCTTGACATGGAAAAAAGTGATGGGAAAAGCTTCACCTGCTTAATTTCTCTGTGCTGGGTTGCCAATGCAGATGAGCAGGGCTGGGTAAAAAAAAAAGGTAGGAATCCCAGTGAGGAGACAGGGAAGAAAGTTAAGAAGTATCTTGGGGCCATCTAGGGAATCTCTGAACCATGAGGGCATTGAGGAATCAAAGAGGGGAGTGGGACTTTGCCCAGAAGGGTCTCTCTCACTGCTGCATCTGCCAAGCACTTCTTAAATTGCATTTCTATCATGATGGAAACACAAGATGTTTGAAATTACCAGCGCAGCAGCTTTTCCTTCTATGACGTAAAGCCCTTTAATATCTCATGTGAGTTGGGCACTGCGAGATTCCAGCCATTCCATAACTTTTGCTGGGCTGCATCCAAGGCAGCCAAGCGTATGGGAAGATGCCAAGTTTCTGTAAAGTCTAATCCCCCCTTTCTCTCTTCCCCCCCCCGCAATGACCCACTTAAAGAATGCCAGTTACAAACTGATCCAAGAATATATGGCGTGTGCACATCCCCTTGAAGGGTATACTGCGTTGCTTTCCATGCCAGTGACACAGAAAGCGCTGGAGAAATTTGCCTGGCAATATTTCCTGCCGTGCAAACTGGATAGGCTGAAAATTAATATTCTGATAAAATGGATAAGGAACACAGTCATATATATAAATACACACACAAAATAATCCCTGCGCTTTCACTTTTAAAAGTTTGGGGAAACAACTTACTCAGCTCCTGCATTGATGATGCGATTTGATTATGCAACCTCTCCCAGACTAAGATCACTTTAATATTGTTCAATTGTTTGGCATTCACTACTTTGGCTGTCTCTTCCTATACGATGCTTATTATCAGAAATGTGAGCAATTACCGAGACTATCTCGTCCTCCGCCGGTACGGTAGCTGCTGAGAGCGCGGCTGCTAGTGCGGCTGCCCTGGCTGCCTTCTTCATTGCTCTCTGAGTCTGAAGATTGGTAAAGTAGTTGACAGCTGCAAACTCGATAAGTGCAGAGAAGACAAAGGCAAAGCACACAGCAATGAACCAATCCATGGCAGTAGCATAAGACACCTTGGGCAAAGAGTGGCGGGCGCTGATGCTCAACGTAGTCATTGTGAGGACAGTGGTGATCCCTGCAAAATAAGGGTGACAAGGAAGCTGTTAGGCCTCTGTATGTATCCTTTGTCAGGCTTCCAAGCTCTGCACACACCAACTTCTCTTTTTGTAACTGCCATGTACCCAATAAACAGATTTACAGCCTGAGCTAGAAGCCACAGCAAGTACTAGTCATTTCCACTGGCAGGAGCAGAGAAGCGTTCAGTGGCACTCAATTCCTAGAGCTGCAGAGCTACAGGCTTGCAATGGGATCCTATGGAAGTTCATTAGAAACCATCTCCCCGGCAAGAGTTCAGTTAGATCCATGACTACACAGAAGATTCAGTGGCACTTACCCCCAGGTAAATCCTCAACACATAGTTTTCCTCTGTCACATTCTTTAATTTAAAACAATGCTAATCTCTATCGCAGTACAATACCCTGAACGAACGAAGCAACGAGCAAATGAAGGTCATGAGAAGAAAGCATGAATACCAGCCACAGTTCTTGCTGGGACAGCTTCTTTGTTGATCCAAAACACAACTTGGGACAGGATTACAGTCATAATGCAGGGGATGTATGTCTGAATGAGATAGTAGCCTATTTTCCTTTGCAGATGAAAATAGAGTACCTGAAGTGAATACTCGCCTATGAGAAACACACAAAGCAATGAAAAATGGTGGATAAATGGAATGATGCAGAGTGGTTTCGGGCAGAGATGATAGTACCAGCATACCAAAAACTGTCCTAGCTGGAACAGACTCCTTATTAATCCAGAAAGACACCTGAGAGAGGATGACTGTCATGATGCAGGGAGTATATATCTGAATCATGAAGTAGCCCATCTTCCTTTGTAAGTGGAAATAAACAGTCATTATTACGTATTCACCTGTTAGGAAACAAGTATATCAGCATTATCTTTGTCCATGTATTAGAGAATCTTGGAATGTCTTAAATAAACACATAGGGAGGGCTGTGTGTACTCATCATTAAAAAATAACAATTCTGTTATCAGGAAAAGCTGCGTTTGCAACATATTCTACCCTTTTGCATTTCCCCCATATTTTTCAATTAATTCTGGTTTTACTTTATATTAGGGAGGCCTTGTCCACGTCCCTTTGAAATGCTAGGCTTCTCAGATTTCAACAGACATTGTCCACAAACTTCCAGGCATAACTTCACAACCATATGGACTAAACAATTTTTTTGTGTGGGGGTAATGAAAGAGAGCACAGGAAGCTGAATTTTACACCCAAGACAACATCTTGTATTTCTCAAGTGTTCCTGCTGTATATAAACCTTGCGAATAAAATGGTATAAAATAGTTTTGCCTAGGAAGCCTTGAGGCAAAGTGTGGATTCAGAGTCCCATAACACACCCGCTTCGTTGCCTTTGCACCTCAGCCTATAACCGCCTTCTGCATGGCAGCAAAGAGAGCTGGCCTGGAACTGGGAGGAGCCATCAGAACTCCCAGCAATAGATTCATTATCATTTATTCTCCAAAGGACTAGCAGTTGGAGCAAGTGTGCCACTGGACACATAGTCAAGTCACACTGTGAGCGTGTAAAATGTATCATGTTGAAAATCTCAGTGGTCATTTTCTAATGTTGGCACTCTGCATGCAGATGTGATCTTACCTGTATTGGATTTTATCGTTTCACTAGAGACTGTTTGCCCTATAAGATCATACTGGAGAAGACTGGAAGATTCTTGTGGAATTTCCACCGAATACAATGGTCCTTTTTTCCAGGTGTAAATAATCTCACTTTTAGGATAGGCGTCTGAGTCAGGCAGGGAGAGAGAAAGAGAGAGAGGAGGGGGGTTGTCATGTGCTAATTATACTTAACTCCTAGTGCCAAAATAAGCAGCAAATCTCTTCTTTGGTAGACGCTGCTGTTGAAGCACACAGTGTGGTGTGATCTATGTTCTATGCACTGTTCCTGTTGCTGTTATTGAACCATCACATTGCTCTAGTTCAGAATGGCCAGAGAATACTGTACTTTGGCTTCTGCAGACTCCCTGTTTGGGCTAGAGGGTCTGAGTATTGAAAATGCAAGGAGAAGTATTTCAAACTCTCCTGGTTAAAGAGACTCAGGGATTTGCTCCAGGCTTATCTCACAGTCTAGATGTATGGGGAAAATGGACACCCCCATATTCCATTTGCTGAAGGAAAAGCCAATGAGGCAAATGTTTTCTGCTTCTCCAGCACGACTCTTTAGTTTCTGTGCAACTTTCACACTTGTGGACAGGAGGTCCTAATAGCTGTGAAACGCAAGGGGTACAATGCAGGCCCCGGCACAATGCAGCCACTGGCGGAGGAAGAGGACCTGGGGGGGGGTGCACTGCCCCTGGCAGCACGGTCCCCAGGGTGCCATCGCGGCTGCTCCCCCACCCGCGCTGGGCGTCCCACCCCCACAGGCGGCGCGTCACACCCCTGGGACGTGCGCCAGCCCCAGCCCTGCCTGCTCTCTGCCCCCGGTGCCGGAGCATGAAGCTCTGCCACTGAATGCAGCTCTCCAAACCTCTCTGCCTGGCTTCTGGAACTCTGCCCAGGCCACACCCCTCACTGACCCTGTTTTGCACCCTGAGTGTTTTTGCCAGGCTGAAATCTGCCCATGAACTCAGCTACTGCCTCTTGTTTGCCTGGATGGGAGATGCATGAGGGTATGTGAGTGGGTGTAGAAACTAGCCTATTCTACAAAGGTAAAATTTACATTAATTGTTCTGCCCACTTCTGCCGCTGGCAGCTTGCCCAGAATGCAGTACGCAGTCCTCAGGCTGAAAAAGGTTCCCCTTCCTGGCACAGCATAAAATTTAAACGCACACCAGATTAGCACAGCAGCCAGTCACAACAGCATTATTATTCCCCCATCACGGTTTTATTTATTTATAATATTTCTCTTACCCGCTCTTCATTACCAGAGCAATCCCATTACCATCACATTGACATTAAAATCACGTACACGTTTAAACAACAACAGGCAGGAAAATATCCAAATTAGCACGCAACCAGCAATGCAAAAAAGGCATTCAGCTGATGCCAAAAACTCAGCAGAATCAGCACCAACCACTTATGGGAAGGGAGGGAAGTCTAGAAATGGTTTGGTGAGTTTCCTCCATAGATCTTAATTCATAGGCAGGTCAATAGAATGAAGACTCTCTGTCTTCAGTCAGTGCAAGCAGCTTGAACTTTGCTCAGCAGCATGTGAAAAACATCCATGGAGCTCTTTCAAGACTGATGCAATATGTTCATGGTGGCAATCCTAGCCATGGCTGTTCCAAAGTAACTTCAAAGGCAACCTGACATTTTACATTAATCCAGCACATGGATCATTCTGGCCAGACAATCCAGGAAAAGCCACAGTTGCCTTACCAGCCAATGCCAGCAAAATGTATTTCTTTCCATAGAGACCACTTGTGCCTCCAATGACAGTGATGGATCTCAGAGCATCCCCCGGAATATGTGTCTGTTCCTTCAGAGGAAGTGCAGCTCTTTGCAAAACAGGTAACTTGCCCAGTTTCTGGGCCTGGGAACCAGCCACCAACCAAGTCTCCATTTTATTGGGAACCTGTCTCAGTGTTGGTGTCCATTTCAATTTTATTCTCAAGGTACCTCAGAAACTTGTCACAGCAGCTTTCTAAGCGTTCTAAAATCATATTAACAGGAATCAATCTTTAAAAATTCCCCTATGGTGGAGTATTTTAATTTCAATGTCAGCTGGCAGGGTTTTTTGTTATATTATTATTATTATTATTATTATTATTATTATTATTATTATTATTATTTCTTTTGTTACAACTGCAAATACAAAATTGAAAGAAAGAAAAATTCCCATACCACTCAGAACAACTCTGCCACATGGCTATCTGAGGATGCAACAGAGATCCTTCTTTGCCACCTTCACCACCATGTGGTAGGAACAACCGTGTGCTCTAGCAAACGTTGTGTCATCTTCCTGCTGAGATTTGCTCTACTTGCATTCCAGCCATTGTCCAAATTGCTTCATTTTCCTAAGCTGCCTTTAAAATAAGGGAGAAGACGGGGCTCCGTGCCACTGCGATCACGTTGAATACCTGCTTCACCACACCGTTCCACAGCAACAATAGGGCTCAATAAGATCACCGCCTCTGTCACAAAATCCCTCGGAGTATTCAGGAATCCATCAGATTCCATTAGTCTCTGGGAGTGGACCATCTTCATGTGTTCCCAATCCCTGCAGGAGGAACTGACGCTATCAGACCAAACCTCACCAAGGAATGGTCTGACCATGACAGTGGATTAACTTTCCTGTACACCATTTAGACATGACTGTTGTTAAGTGGAAAACAGATACAGTGGAACCTTGGTTCTCGAACTTTATCTGTTCCAGGAGTCCATTCGACTCCTAAAACTGTTTGAAAACCAAGGTGCAGCTTCTGATTGGCTGCAGGAGCTTCCTGCACTCAAGCAGAAGCCACGTCAGATGTTCAGGTTCTGAAAAACATTCGGAAACCGGAACACTTCCAGATTTTCAGCTTTCGGGAGCTAAAATGTATGAGTACCAAGGCGTTTGACAACCAAAGTAAGACTGTAAAGAAAAAGAAACTACAAGCCCCCTGCTCCAGACTATCCTCTTTAAGTTCTGGTGCAAATACCAAATCAATGGCATGCACTGCAGCATGCTCCATGGCTGCTGTGGTAGCCGTGAAGTCCTGAGTTGGGGTGGGCGAGGCACCAGCAGCACCCTTATTTTGCCTCCCGGGCCCACACTAGATGCAATCCCTTGAATTCTACACAGGAGTGGAACGGTCTGGTGAGTGAGACAGAATCCTTATGGACCACAGTGACATCCTCCTTGCCCTGCTGTTTACCAAAGTACTCAGGTAGATAAAACTGCACCAGGCCAATTCCACCCAACTAGTCCACCCAGGTCTTGGTAATACACACCAGCTTAGCTCCCTCATCTATGACCAAATTGTGAGTGACAGATATTTTCTTAAAGACCAACTTGGCGTTAAGTAACCATACCAGAGTGGCTGAAAGGACAACCTAGGCCTTGGTGGATGGAGAAAAGACTCAAAAAGGGCACAGCTATCAACCACCTCACTCCCCCTGCTCCTCACTTTTGTTGTGTATGGTCACTGTGCTTATCTTCCATATATTTATTCTTTACACAGAACTGTCGCCATTTGTACCTCTTGCATTTCATGGCCACCTGGCCCCAGGGGGTTAGTTCCGAATGAAATTGGTTGAACAGAGATCCCAATGAAATTAATCCAACAAGTTAGTCATGACTTAAGTCCCATTGATTTCAATGGGACCAACTTAGCAACTAACTAAGCACTGATCCAAGCCTATGTTTTATATATTTTTCTCTATAGGGTGGGTGGTGGATGAATGGAGGACAGCTATCTGCCAATTGAGATCAACATATTATGCATTTGATAAGATGAGTTCTAGTCCACAATAGCTTACTCCATAATAAATCTATTAGTCTATAAAGTGCCAAAAGACACTGTCGTTTTTGTTGCAGCAGGCTAATGCCATCCCTGTGTTCTAATTTTCAAAGTAGATGAAACTTCAGGAGCTATTATACTGCAATTCCAGCAAGACACATCCACCTCCCTCAGTAAATCATTAATTGTTACTATTCCTATCATGCATGATAACTAAGCAATAGTGATGATATCCAGGTTTATGCAGAAACCACTGAAGCTTCTCTCCAACCCAAAAATGTTGCCCGTACATTTTAACCTGTGGCTGAAAGAAAGGAAGCCATGGTATCCTTCACAGAGCATCTTGAAGCCTCATTCATCATGTCTTTAGGTACTCTCCCTCCTTCCACACCAGCAGGTGAGAACTTCCATATTCCTACTAGACTAGGCGACAAATATCACTTCCCTTGCCAAAGAACTGGAGAGGGAGATGTGAAACTAAGAATTAAATTCAGGAAAGATCCTTTATTTTTCCATCAACTTGGGCAAAGCACCCTGAAGCGAGACTCAAGGCAAACTTGTTTTCACATCCTAAGTCAAATTCCATGAGACAGCTTTTCTAAACTTGAGATCTGCAACATGGCATCTTTCATCCCCAGCTTCCAATTACAAGGCTTCACACAAGCTTTGATATGTAAGTTCAGTGCACAATGGCCAAGTTTCTCTTCCACTGTTAACTCATCCTTGTGCAGCAGACTCCTAGGCAAATAGTTTGGCTGGGAAAGAATAAAGGGTTGAGTGTGTGCCCATTTTCTCCCTTGGCACCGATTTAGCACAGGGTGCGAAATCTTTGACTCCCCAGATGCTGCTGGACTACAACTCCATTTTCCCTTACCATTGGCCATGCTGGCTGGGGCTGATGGGTGTTGAACAACAACATAGGTTCTACACCTATGAGTCCTTATCTTAAAGCCTACTGACCCAAGCAGGTATCATTCTTGAGGATAGCCAAGTTTTACCAAGTGATTTTCTCTAAAAGGTTTACAGCAATGACTAAAATTGCACTCCTGGTTGTAACTTAAGATTGGAACAAGCATTTCATTCTCCTCAGCCCCTTAAATATAAAATGCTTCTTAAAGGAATAAATAAGGAAAGTGGCTGTGGGGATCAGTGTCAATTCTGATGCACCCCAGACTTACAACCACAGACACTGAAAAATTATGACTATTACCTATTATTATTATTATTATTATTATTATTATTATTATTATTATCACTGCACCAATCATTACAATCATTACAAGTTACTACCAAGGCCATGTTCAGCTGAGGTAGCAAAGCACAGTCCAGGAACTCTGTAAGAAAGCATTGCTTTGAGCAGCCGACCTGATTGCCTAGCCTAGAAGATCCTACTGCAGCAAATTATTTCATTAAGGGCCCATTTTTAAGAAACATACAGTACTAGCATTATAAGAGATTGTGCTAAAGACCCTATTTCAAGAAACAGTATATCAAGAGGCAGTATATTATGTTGCCTAAGACTTTGCTTCTACTGAAAGATAGGAACTATTTGCATACTTACAGCTCCCAAACTTCAGGGGACAAGCATGTCCATCCATAGGGAAGTTTACCAGACGCATAGGACAGTCAGCATTAATGGTAAGTCTACAAAGGAGAGCAGAATTGTGCTGAGTTAAATCACCAGCAGATTGGGGGGGGGGTGGAAATACATGTCAGAACAAAAGTACGTGCCATTAGAGTGCCTACTTACCTCATGGTATAGAGGATGGTGCCGTTCTGCATTATCCTGAAAAGTTTGTTTGGAGTTGTCATATTATGAGCAATTGACTTCTTCCCGTTTCTAAAAAAGGTGTCTGGTGTCCATATTTTACTGACCATTAAATTGTTCAATCTCAGAATTTCAGTGGGCCCACCAAATTTCAACCTCTCATCAATCCACATTTGCCGAAAGAAAACATCCATGGTGTATTCCTATTGAGAAAACAAGAGAGCTGAAGATCAGGACCCAGTAACAATATATGGTAACTTAGTGGGAAGGCTTACATGCACATGTTAACCACACTCCATTCACTACTTAATCACTTTAATCCTATTATCCTTAAGTAAGTCCTTAAAAAGGAGCCAGCCTATGAAAGGAAAACATATCCTATTTCATGATAAATTGCCCCAAATTAATTAGTGAATAATGGATAATTTGCTATCACAAAAACAGATATCTTGATATGTATTCATAAAACAGAATGTAATTCCTGAAACTAATGCCTTATAACAGATATGTGGTATTGATTTAGGATGACATTTCTTTTTATTTTTTAGCAGAGGTTTGGATTTAACTGGGTTGTGGTTGGGTAAAAGCTTTCCTGGAGTGAGAGCCAAGGGAGTGGGTGGGAAGAGATTTAGTGGATTTTTATAGATTTGTTTTTGAACTAATGTATAAGAAGAGGAAGAGATTCAGGAGGCTTGAAGTATAAGCAAGACAGTCAACACTGTCTGGCCCAAGGCATTTGCTACAATTGGTGCCCCTCTGCTTGCTGTGCTATTCAAACATCAGTTCCTGCCTTCTTCTATCCCCTCTCTTCACACTGATAGTACTTCCTGAACCAGGTCCGTTCCCCCTGCAGGCAGTTGTAGGATCAAGAGTGCCATGTTCACTGTAGATGAGTAGTGGGAAATCTCTAACAAGGGGGTCTAACCCAGCCCACCAACCCCCAACCCAAACACACCAGACACCTAGAGAAATCCAATATAATGAAGAACTTGGAAGGGAGATTGGAGCCTTCAGGACAGAACACTGTGTTTTATTATTCTGGTAACGGTGCAACTTATAACCTAACTTTTGTCCTCTTGGAAACACCAGGGCTGTTGGATCATAAAGATTTTGCCTTCAAAACCCCAGTTCACATAAATAAGAATCCTAGTTTTTGGCTGCTTCTCATTCAAATTCAGGAATGCCAGAGCAAGTTGCCAGCAGGCACTGACGTACTCACTAGCTGATTTCAGACACAACACTCAAGTATGATTTAACCTAACGTGAACAAGCCTTGGGCTCATCAACTCCATTCTCCTCTGCTACAGCCACAGTTTAGTCTAACGTCCAAACCTGGGCAAACTCTGTTTAGTCTTAACTATGGTTTACTGAAAGCCAACTTTAATCCGTGACCAGGGGAAAGAGACAGTGGAAGAAGACTGGAAGAAATTTAAAACATATCTTAAAAATTGTTGCAAAATTGAGGAGTGTTAAGATGTCAAGGAATTAGGAAATAGAGAATTGCAGCTGTAATCAATAAGTTAAAAAAGAAGTTAAATGAAATTGAATTGAATAATTAGCTAATTGGAGGAGTTGCTGAAGAAATGTAAAACAAGGATGCAGAAAAGGGGAGGTATGGGGAAGTCCGGGAAGTAAGGTGTATGAAAATAAGATTATGAAATTATACATGTTTATATGTTTGTATGTTTGTGTATTGTGTATTGTTTGTTTTTATTATGTGTTTGGAAAATTAATAAAAATTTATTTTAAAAAAATAAACCATGGTTTCTGATCCTGGTTTATTTCTTTAAACTATAATTAACAGTAACCACAGTTTGAAGTTTGGAAATTATGCTAAATTGCCATTAACTGGAAGCAAAAGTGATAGCTCCAGATATCCTCTTCAAAGCCACACCAGAAGAGGTGAGAGGAGCAGCCAAGCCCAAAGGTTGTTCGCATGATGCTCAACCAAGTTTAGCATTAGGTCTGAATACACCACTCCATGTTCCCTGTGAACATCAGACTGCACTTCTAAGTAAATAAACTGGTTATAGAAAGCTTCACTTCTGTGGTTCCCCTATAACTTATATCCCTGCTCATCAAAAGCCTCACCAACTTTTATGGCATTATATATTGTTTTTGTTTTTTAACAATCATTTATGCCACCCATATTTGTGAGATTGTACCTCGTATGTCACTTCTCTTCTCAGCGCATTGCGATGCATTTTGTAAGAACTTTTAAAAATCCTTGGTAGGTAGAATTGACCCAGGATTGAGGTTGGAAGCACCTTATTTTACCAACCAGCCTTTCGCCTATACAGTGGTACCTCAGGTTACATATGCTTCAGGTTACATACGCTTCAGGTTACAGACTCCGCTAACACAGAAATAGTGCTTCAGGTTAAGAGCTTTGCTTCAGGATGAGAACAGAAATCATGCAGCGGCAGCAGGAGGCCCCATTAGCTGAAGTGGTGCTTCAGGTTAAGAACAGTTTCAGGTTAAGAACGGACCTCCAGAACGAATTAAGTTCTTAACCCGAGGTACCACTGTATACTCAACAATAAGTCTCAATGATGCCCGTGGGAGCCACAAGCATGATTGCAGCCTTTGGATCATTGATCATTGATTGTGCAGACATAATAAAGAACATTCTAAGGAGATTCTAGATGCATACACACTACTGAGTTTGTAGCACAAAAATGTAGGTTCCCCCCCAATTTGGAATAGTTCTTGCTTGTCTTGAACATGCTGCTTTCAATTTAGATCCTAGATCCTGCCATCCAAGGGTGGGTGTGGTTACTTAATACATGTTTGAAAATCATTGATTAAGTTGTCCATGTATTTTCCTCCCTGCACATGCCCCGGGTGAATGAAGAAGGAAGTAGGGATTGCAATCTTGGTATACACGCACCCACAATGCCATTGGGAAGGTGTGTATGTGAGGTTCCATTGCCAGGAACCACCTATATCTGTTTTCAAATGGATACACTGTTGGTAATGCAGAATCGCTCTGCAACGAGCTTCCATTTTTGGAACAAATAATGCTTCTCAGGGCAAAAAAAATATGCAGCAGATCTAGACTGTGTGTGGACTACAGTGGTATCTCGGTTTACGAACTTAATCCGTTCCGGAAGTCTGTTTTTAAACCGACACCATTCTTAAACCGAGGCGCGCTTTCCCTAATGAGGCCTCCTGCCACCGGTGCCCTTCCACCATTCGGATTCCATTCTTAGACCGAGGTAAAGTTCACAAACGGGGACACTACTTTCGGTTTTGTGGAGTTCATAATCCGAATCGTTCATTAACAGGGCTGTTCTTAAACTGAGGTACCACTGTACATGCAAAAAGCAAGCACAAGGTCTCCATTGATTCTAGAATAAAATGTCATGTGTGCATAGCCAGACTCCAGAATGTCAGGGATCCTAATAATACTAGGAGGAAGTTTACAGCATCTATCAAGGGCAAGCACACAACGTACTGATGAGCCCACCCCAGGTTCCATAAATGAGTGCCTGTTGCCATCTGCTCTTTCACCGAGCAAAAGGAGCACTCCCTGCCTGACGTGCATTTGGTGAAGTTTACTTCCCCTGCTCCGAGCTCTGCTGTGTATAATTCTCCGCATTGTGGTGCAAGCGGCCGCAATCTTCTTATAGCTCTGATGCCCTCTTAACCAACAAACCCTGCTTTCCACCCAGGAAGGCCAGAGAGCAGTGGGGGGAGTGAACCCAGACCTTTGCATTATGATCTAAATATTTGATTTGCAAGTGTGCTTGAACACACGCACACACAGCTCTCCTCCCCTCGAGGAAAAAAGATGCATGCTAAAACTGCCCCGCCTGGCCCATCGCAGTCGTGCAAAACCGTTTCTCTGTGCAGCCCCAACGGGAAATGCACGGCCGGGTCCCTGCAAGGCAGAGATTGTCAAGAAGATTAAAGCGAGTAATCTGCTCTAATGACAGTCCACTCAGATGCCACCGTAATGAATCCTAGAAAACAGGAGCAGAGCAAGCTCCCTTGCAGCCGAAGGGCTTGAGAGGCAGAGAGGGAGAAGAGGGGGGGGGCAATCTCCTTTGACACTAAGGCTCCTCTCACAGCTGGGGGGGGTGAGTTGCTGGTGGGGGGTGTCTTACCATTTCTACATCTGACACAGGACCAAAGCTGGTCACGTAAATGTCTGTCTTGACTTCCGTCACGGCTCCTGGGAAGCGGTTCCAGGGGGCGAAAGTTTGCGTGCGCACCGTCGAGGGGAGGAAGGAGAGAGTTCAGTGAGATGGGTGGCATTTATTCTTAGGGTGCTTCCCCCTCCCCCTCCACCAAGGGAGGAAACAACTTGTTTGCACGTAGTTAGCAAAAAGTAGGGTTTGTTTGGCTTCCCCAGATGCCCAAACAGGACTTTCTTAGAAGGGGTGTCTTGGCGATGCAATCCTGGGAGGGAGGTGGACGGGGGTGTCTTGCCTCAGTGAAATCTCCCCCCAAGACGCCCCCACCCTACAACGGCCCCAAGGTAAGGAGCAAGCCGGGTTTTTCCCCCGCTCCCAGCGCGACCCCAGCGGCGCCTACTCGGAAATCCAAGCCCCACAACCCAAACGCCGCGGTGTCCGATGGGGCTCCCTTGAAGGGACGTGTAGGGTAGCAGCCCGCCTTGCAGGCAACTGTGGCTCGCAGGCTGCGGCTCAACGGGAGAGGTCAAACGCCGTGGGGAAAGAGGGAAGGTGTACAAGACAAGTAAGGACCTGGGCTGCCCCTGCCGCCGAACCCGGGTCGCAGCCGGTTGTCGTAGCCGTCCAGGAGCTTGTCTAGGATCCGGGAGATGTTCTCCGAGTAGAGGTCGCCCTCGTCGGCGGCGGGGTCGTCCGCCAGCACCTTGTGGAGGCTACAGAGGCAAGCACAGAGCCCCGCCGTCACCCACAGGCTCCCTTCTTGCCCCAAACCAACTCCCACCACCACCCCTATGCTCCCCCAAAAAGTTGCTTCACTTTGGATCAACAGCAAAGCAGCCCTCCCGGCCATTTGCTGTCCCGAGGTGTGGAAGAGCAAGGCTGGCCCCAACTTCTTCTGCGCCCAAGTTTGCTTTACTTACCACGCAGTGAAGCAAATCCAAGGAAGCCACCAAGCCATGCCTGCGCTCTGCCCAGGACCTGGATGCCAACCTGGTCAACTGGAGCAAATCTGAGTAGGACCCATCTTCCTTCTTCAGTTTTGTCCTCCCACTCGGCGTTTTCCTTACTACCAGTAGTATACCCGTAGACCTAATGCTCTAGAGGAGTGTGGATGGGCAGATGGACTTGGGCTGGTTCCCCCCCCCCTCTCCCTGCCAGCCCCGCCTTCCAGGGGCTCCTCTTCGCCGTGTGTGTGTGTGTGTGTGTGTGTGTGTGTGTGTGTGGTCGGTCCCTGATATTCCCCCACCGTCGTTCAGGCTCATCTGAGTGCTTCAGTTGTGGAATTACAGTATGAAGGGACGGTGCCCGGTCGGAGAGCAGTGACAATAATCGAATAAGGCATTAGGGGAGATTAAAAGGAAGAAATCCACTGCTAGTTTTGGCATGGAATTAGCAGGGACCTGTTAGGAAATCTGGAAAAGCACTGGCATCTTGCTGATAGAGATTATGTTGGAAATGGCCTCAGCTTTTATTATTTTTACGGTTCACAGAGATATTATTATGCAGCCTGCGCATCATTAGAACCCTCCTGCCCCACCTTTTTTTTGGGGGGGGGTGTTTTCCTGTAAAATTCATTTGACCAGTTTGCTCTTTTCTGCCCTTTATGGCCAGGCCTTGAACGCCTCAACTAAATTTGTTAACATTTCCCTCAATGGTGCAGGCATGCCCTCAAACACATATGCATCGATTTTTGAAAGGAAGAAAGAAAAATCTCATCTCTTCTGCCTGACCTCCACCTGGGCCTAACATCATGTCATCCTGCTCTCTGTTGCCAATGCTGCTTTGTCGTGACTTGCAATTTGGTGTGTTAAAAGGTAAGAATCACTGCCAGCCCAATCCATAACCCAGTGAAACTGAAGTGAGGCGGTTTTTAAGCTGAAGGGAGCAAATCGTTTGGAATCCAAGCACTTCAATTAAACCGGACTGTGAAAAAAAGGTTATTGTCCATTATATTTCTGGAAAGAACCAGTTGGTTAACTGGTGGCAACAAAGGTCGTAAATTAACTACTACTTGGACGTTGATATTACGCTCACTTGGGATATTGCCAAGTTGGAAAAGGTTCAGAAAAGGGCAACTAAAGTGATCAAGGGGGTTGAGAAAAGGTTGCAGTGTTCAGGATTTTTTAGTTTAAAGGAAAAGCAAGTAAGAGGTGACATGATAAGAGTTTATAAAATTATGCATGGAATGGTACCAAATAAACACAATTGCTTTAAATAAATAAATACTTTTTAAAAACACCAAGCACTTAATTCCCTAAGAACATCTAAGATCCCAATGTCTTTCATACTTTAGCACCTTAATGTACCTGGTTGTGCATCCAACCAAGTGTGGAGTAGTGATAAAACTATGGGACTGGAACTGAGGAGCTCCAGGTTCAAATCCTAACTCAGCCATAAAGCTCACTGGATGATGTTGGGCCAGTCACTGTCTCCCAAGCTCATCTACTTCTCAATGCTGTTGTGAAGGAGCGAAACCATGTACCCTATGTTGAGCTTCTTATGAAAGGCACAATATGAGTTTTTTAAAAACAACAGGGACCTAGTGCCCTATGAGAAGGCAATGGAAGAGTTTAAGACTGCCATCACCACACAAAGCCTAGTTATTTTTGGACCCACCATCATCAACAACAGATGGTGATGCTTTCAGCTTGGGATGCCTCTCCCATACATATCCCTGTACATGCAGGCCAGTACAATTTGGGACACCAAGCACTGAACCTGGGAACTGACTCCATCTCCACATGTGCCAGCTGCTTAAGACTGGAAAAATAGGAAGTTGGACAAGTGCCTGACACTCCACAGACCTGGACTCCACAGCCTCTCACAGTCATTCTGTTTACACAATGACCACTCCCCACATCAAATGGGGGGCACCTTTTGTGTGGTCGTGCACAGCCCCCCAGATCCCAGTGTGACTCCTGGTAGTTCAGGCTGGGTTCATCCTCCCCCAGGCTGGATACCTGGTCTCTGCCTACCTCAGCCAATCGCCCAATCCCACCTGGGGAGGCGTTGCTAGGGGATCGGCAGGTAAGGGGAGGAACCCCCCCTCCCCACACAACAGAAGGTGAATCTTACCTGCGAAGCGACAGTTGGCTCAATAGCTTCTCCCACCCTGCCCTCCCTCACTTAAGTCTTCTTTTACAGGTTAACTTCTTTTCCACAGGTACGCAGGCTCTGCTATGTCAGGGTCGCTGTTGAAAGGCTGGAAAAGAATTTTCCTGCATTGGCAGGTTTTGCCTTTCCCGTAGCAAAACATCACAACTTTGGTGGTTTCAGGCCTTGGGCGGAATCCTTTAGTCTATCTTCCTAAATTGGGGGCATGAAGCAGTGACCCACGCCCCCCTTGCAGCGGTGATCCCAGGGTTCCCCGTTAAAGGGGTCTTGAGGGGAGGCATTGGCCATACACTGAGAGGTTGTCATTGATCTCCCCTCCAACGGCAAAATGGGGGCGGGCTCTCTGCTTGAACATATGTTCTCCAGAGCCAGTCCACACACTCTGGATAACCCTGATGTCTCCCAGATCCCTGGCTGGGGACTGGGAAGGATAAATGCCCAGTGCCTGAGCCAAGGTCTCCCATCTGAGATTTAATAAAGTTGTGGCCAATTTTAATCCTATAGCACGTTGTCTTGAGTCATTATTCCGCTCAGGGGTCGCCTGGGTTTGGGGGGACTCTGCCTGTCCACGCAATAGAACCTCAGCGAAGCATCCAGCCAAAGGAAACCCCTTTCCACAACCACAAATCAATATAGATGCTAGATTAGAAAACAAACAAAAAGAGATTCGAAATATTGAAATGCATGTAGCTCCAAAAAGTGCTCTTATACTCACACAGAAGTGGGGAAAATGTTTTTTAAAAAACACAGAGATGGATACATACAGAGAGTTTAGTTGCACCCAAGAATGGTTTGTTATCTTGCAACTTATATGTTGTTTTGAAATGTTTAAACTCTGTTGCAAATTATATTTCTTTCTGAACTGACTGGGTTTTAGTTCAGTGCACTGTATTATACTATTTTGTACAATTCAGCCTCTGACCGCTTCATTGCTGTCATTGTCGTCCAAAGTTTTTTGTGTGACAGTTAGCTTTGACTGTTGTTCCTTCAGGGACACAACAGTTTCCCTTCCTTTCTTTAATGTAACACTACTGTTATTCACCCTGAGCCATAGGGATAGAGCAAACTATATAAATTTACTAGTTTTGAATGGATGGAACTTCAGGATTCCTCTTTCAACAATATTGCAAGCTCTTGCTAAAGCCAATTAAAAAGGCAGAGCATGTGCCTTTTGGGCCCACTGTCGGCCAGACAATTGGATCTGTGTGTATGTTTATAGCAATATTCCAAAACGTCAAAGCAATCTCATTTTTCATTATCTTTCTAAGGCTTTGAATCTGTTTCTATCCTCAAGTCCGTAAGCAAATATGCTGATGGAACTATTGACAGATGGCAATCCATGTTTTTTTGTGTCTGTGAAGATTCATTTGTTACTAAGAGCATGTTCATAGCTCAACTTTGGACTTGCTGGGATTCTTCTTCACATGTCTTCATGCTAAAAAAACAACTCCAAATCCACAGAAACTAAATAGCTGGAGATAGGGAAGGTGAGCAGAAGAGGGGCATGTTTTTCTTCCCTCCTGAATGGAGGTAATGCCATTAGTGTGTCTTGGCAATTTTAAGAGAGAACAATATCCATGCAGTCTTGGAACTGGGATGGAAAGAGAGATAGAGACCTGACTTGTTGTCAACAGAGACTTGTTGTCTCTGTGAGACACCAACACTATGGTGATGAGACACTTCTTGGAAATCTGATGGAATGCAGTGAGCATTCTCTCTTCTTCTCAGCCTGTATATATGTGTATCACAGAATGCCACCAGTCTCTAGTAATCTTCAGTCCAAAGAAGCCAAACCCAAGATGAATACTGGGATCACCTGGGTGCACTTAACAATTTTTTTTGACAGTTAACAGATGGTCAAGTACAACTATCTAACAACACAAAGTGATCCTAGATTCCAGAGCAGCCACTTTTGAGATTGTAGACCCTCCTTCTTTTAATACAGCCGATCCTTCTTCCTTATAATTGATACTTTATTAGTATCCAGTCTAGTTAGTCTTCAAAACTGCATATATCCAATTAATGTTACTATTTTGGTGTGGTTACTTGCACATTTTCATTAGTATTAAAAATTAGAACATCTCTTTTATCCTAACAGTTTTAGGCTGAAAGTTTAGACTCTTATCAAGCTATTTAGATGTTACAACACGTGATCTGGTGCTGCCGTTGCACCTTCTATGCAAAGATAATAAAATAGCCTTTCCCTATAAAATATAAAAAGCCCAGCACAGCTCACAGTGTTCTGTCACAATTCTGGAAGATTTCAAGATGGCCAAGGAAGTGGACATGAATTAAGATATCAGACTATAGTTTGTAATTGTGGAGCTGTTGCACTTGCATACATATATTTTCCTGGGGAACAGGTAACACACCTCTGCATGCACAGCTTGCTTCCCAAGAAACCATTAATACACACAATTGACTGCACCTTGATCAGTATTATTTGACTTAATAGTTCAAGCTCCATAATTGTTGTTTACACAGCTCTGCAGCTTGATGTGCACTCAGGCAACTACAATGTTGGTAGAATTTGGTTTCTACAGTATGGGAGCAAAGTACTTGAATCTTGAAGCGAAGCAAGTGAAATGGGGAGCCTAGGCTACTTTTCTCAGACACCAAGGCCTCACTGTCCAGGCACTTAACAGATCAGAATGCATTGGCTGTCAATTTAATTTGGTCACAACTTTATTGAAAAACCCTCACCAGTATCTTTTGTGATTGTGTTATGTTGAGACAGCTAGTTTTAGGTGACGAGGCTTCCCAGACCGTCTACCTTTATATGTTTTATTATAAATCTGACCATCTTTGACATATCCCTGAGAAAAAACAAGGAGTCAGCTCTGTGGACAGAAAAAGGATGCTGCTCAAACACAAAGAACCATGCAACCGGCGGATGAGACTCCTTATGGAGTTTGCCCCCTCGCTAAGAGTGCAGAAGCAGGGCTTTTACACC